ATGTGTGTGTATATATATATATATATATATATATATATATATATATATATATATATATATATATATATATATACAATTGACCGTTTATTACATAGGTTATGGCATTTAAGTCTTCCATCCACTGGACTGAATATGATTTCTTCGATGAGCTATTATTGCGACAAGATCAGTTTATACGGTTTCTTTCCTTTCTATGTCGATGAACATGGCCGACGTCTTCAGCATCATTATTACGAACACTTGCAATATAACTACACACACAGTCACCATAAGATGCCCTACGAGTTTATTCAACTCACGAAATTGCGCAATTCAGGTGTGTTGAGGCTTGTTACAGATAGGTGTTACTGATAACGATATATCACCATTAATGCCTTACGAGTTTCTCAATCTCACGAAATTACGTAATTATGGTGTAATGGTACAGGGAGATTAAGGTGACCAATGACCAATGACGATACCGCCATTAGATATGCTTTACGAGTTTCTGGTGGGTTGAGGCTTGTAACAGATCGATGTAACTCATCGATGTAACTGATGATATCATCAAAATATACTTTTTCAATCTCGAAATTACACCGATCTGGTCTTTTGACCAGATCGGTTTTTGAGACGTTTTTACCGATCAATGGTAATACCAGTAAGATGCCCAATGAGTCTCTTGACACTTCAGATCACGTGAGTCATGAGTGTTGAAACTTAGTACCACTATGGAGGAATAAGTTTAGTTCTTAGTTCTTCACGGTACCACAGATCAAAGTTACTGAAAGACGATCTTTAAGTCACTCTTCATGAACTCAAATATATGCATCTAAAGTAGACCAGCTCAGGTAATTCCATCGGGTCTACATTGCTTACTCGTTCATATTATGAGACTGCTGTTAAAATACAGTATATCTTGATATCAGAGTGGGGGAGAGAGAATTAAAATTAGTCTATCAACTGAAAATTTGAATTAGAAGATTGAATTTTTTCTTTTTTTTTTTCAAATAACAGGCGCATAGATTATACCGTTCTCATAATTGTTTTAGGTTTCGCAATCTGTATTAGTGACTTTTGTAAACGTCCACTAAGGGAGGTTGTGTATTTTGCCTGCCTGTCTGTCTGTTTATTTGTTGTGCTGTCTGTCTGTCGTACTGTCTCTCTGTTTGTTTGTTAGCAGGATTATGAATGGTTTATCGCAAAATATGTGGAGCAGTACATAGGCCTATCTATGCAAAAAGTGATAGCATTTTGGGGTTTAAGGTCACGTGAATGTTGGTTTTATTGGTATTTTCTGTGTCTCACTATGGAAAGTCGCTAATTATTTATGAGATCGTTTAAAGGGAATTTTTAATTAAATTACTCAAAGATGTTTAAGATACTTACTGTGCCAACACAAAGAGTATAGCATATTTTTGTATAATTTGTTTACATAAAGCCAGTAGTTGCTAATGATGAAGAGCTATCGTAATTGGCAACTCCTTCCACATAACTACATACACATAATAATAATAATAAATATAATAATAATAAATAATAAATAATAAATAATAATAATAATAATAATAATTATAAAAAGTAAACAACAACTATGGAATCGGATTTGGTTTGGAACGTGGGATAAAATCCTGTCTTTATATTACTGTACTTGGAAACCTCATAGCGCCACTTCAATCTTTAAAAATAATTAACGACACATTTTTTACAAATATTTTGAACATAATTCAGGAGTGTCTGTAGCTAGTCCCACTTTGGGATAATTTGCCTTGAATCGTTGAATAATAGGTCGCATACAAATGTGCAATTCAATTAGATATTTACCAAACAAAACAACTCTAAATTCTTGTTTTTGTATTGTCGATGGGACCAGGTACAATGCACCATGCAGACAGAGGTTCAACAATACACCCGTGAATAAAGGGTTATTGTATAATGTCCTTGTCTGGATTTTGCCTATGGTGCGTGTTTTACGCGCAACAGTGTGTGTGGCTTAGCACGCGAGTATATCCTGAACACACAGCTAACGTACAAGACAGCCATCTCGACAGGCAGTCTCAGGTGTTTCGATTCCTACCCTCCCACCCATAGTTTGGATATTGGGAGTTGTTTTATATCAGGGGATGTGTGTGTTGTTTAACAGGCCCGTAGCCAGCATGCTTCAAGGGGTGGTTCTGGGCGTGGGGTCCAGGGGCCCGCCAAAGGGCCCCAGGTGGGGTCAAGAGGGGCTAAGCCCCTGTGGGGGCCGGAGGCGAAGCCCCCGAAGCCAGAGCATTCATACGATTTTAAAAGCATGTACATGTCATTTAAATGCATGTTCATGTATATTTAAATACTTCTTACACAATTTTAAAAATAAGATAAGAAGACTACTTTTTCCAATACAGGATTTAGAACGTAAA